GACACAGAATCTGAAGCTGGCTCCAGGCTCTGTGGTGTTAGCACACAGCCCGACATGGGGCTTGAACTCACAAACTGAGACGTCATGACCTGAGTCAAAGTCGGATGCTTAATGGACTGGCTTAACCCAGGCGCCCCAATTTATACACTTCTGATTAAAGGCAGAGGACAGAGGTTCAGAGTGTGAAGAGCTGTGGGGCCAAGAAGGTGAGCTACCTTTCCCTTGGGAGTATATCCTGAGTCTAGAGGGGGACTGAGAGCCTAGAAAGCTGAACAGCATGCTGGACAGCCTTGCAGAGCTAGGGACAGGACCCATCATTGAAGATCTATCAGGTAGGAGCCCCGATGACTGCCCCCCCATCCATTATGTTGGGACCCTTAAGGGATTGCATCCTAGGAATAATGGCAACCTGAAGTAAATCTTCAAAGGGACTTCAATTCAGACTTGTATATCTCAGTTTATGAAGTCAGAATGACATGATCACGTATGGCTTATACACTCAGGAACCTGACAGAAGCAAATGGAAATACTTTTCGGAAAAGATAACATCTTGACATCGTCCCAGGCTTAAAATTATTTTTATAATTTTAATAATTTTATAATTTATTACAATAATCATAATTTTACAAATATGATACCTGATAAGAAATAACCAGATATTACAAGACAAACATGAAAACATACAAAAGAAGAAAAGAAAATAACACCTTAGTGGCTGTGGATATTGAAGTCATCCAGATAAACTTTAAAATAACTATAATTTTACTTTTAACATTGAAGGACTTAAAAGACAAGAATGGGGATATTTCAGAAAATTAGAAATGGTGAAACAGACTCAAATGGATATTCCCGAAATGAAAAATACAATACAAGAAACTATGAACTCAATGGGTAAGCTCAACAGTAGATTTGTCAAAGCTGAGGAATGAATTACAAATTAGAAGATAGATCAGTATCCAGAATAAAGCACTGAGAGATTAAAGAGAGGATAGCTACGAGAAAGAGAGAGTAGGATACACAGGGGATATGATGAAAGAGCCTAACATGTGGCTAGAAGGAATGCCAAAAGGAGAAATAGGAGCGAATCAAAGCAGACAATATTTGATGACATACTGACTGAGCACTTTCTGAAATTGATGAAGAACATCAAGGAATGGCCAAAGAAGCCCTGGGAAGCAGTAAGCAGGCTAAATAAAAATAAATGCACACTCTGCCACTTAAGAGTTAAACTATAGGAAACCAAATAAAATGCTCTATAAACTAAACCAAGATTAGCTTCAAAGAAGCATCAATTAGACTGAGAGTTGATTTCTAAATAGTAATAAAGCTTACCAGGGGACAATGGGATGTTTCTGATGTGCAGAAACAAAATAACAGCCGACTTCAGATTTTACACTCAGTGAATGCATCCTTCAAGAATGAAAGTGAAATAAAAATATTTTCAGGCAAAGGAAAGCAGAGATAATTTTCTAGAGCAGATATAGCACTAAGTAAATACTAAAGAGTAATCTTTATATAGTAGAAAAATGATCCCAGATCGAAGAACAGAGATAAAGGAAGAAATGAATGATAATAAAAATAGAATACTATGAGGACACATCTAAATTAATATCTACATCTACAAAGACAATAATGATGTCTGCATGAATTTAAAGTGTATACAGAATAAAATGATAATACATTGGGAAGACAGTAAGTAGGAGTTAAGATGTTTTAATGTCTTAGTCAAGATTGCAAGTTGTAATCTGTAGGTTAAATCCTAAAAGAATAGTAATACAAAAGATAACGTCCAAGAAAAAAAGTTGGGGGGGATCAGATTATAATAATAATCTAGTGAGGAAAAGTGGTCTTTTCATAAGTAGACTTGGGCAAATGGCTGTCAACATGAGAAAAAAAGAGAAACCCAGAAACCAGGCTGGAGGGAAGGTGGGTGGGGGATGGGCTAAATGGGTGATGGGCATTAAGGAGGGCCCTTGTGATGAGTACTTGGTGTTACCTGTAAGTGATGACTCACTAAATTCTACTCCTGAAACCAATAGTATGTGTTAATCAACTTGAATTTAAATATAGTCTTGAAAAGGCAGGGCCACAGTGGGGGTGGGGAGGAGGGCAGGGGATGGCTAGTGGTGGGGTTTGTGGGGTGGGAGCAGTGGAAAGAAAGCAGACTCCTGCATAAAAATGAATTCTGGGCAGATGGTATTCTAAATGTGAAAGGAGAAATAATAACATTTCTAGAAGGTGATTTAGGAGAATGAATTTATGAACTCAGGATAGGTAAAGACTTTTAAACAGAACAAAAAAATACCAGGAAAACAAAACAAACGAAAAAAACCTCCCCCAAACCCAAACACCAAAACAACAACCACACCACCACAACAGCAAAAACAGATTGACAAAATTTGTCTATATTGAAATTAGAAAGTTCTTTCATTCAAAGACATCATTAAGAGAGTGAAAAGGCCATGGAATGAGAGAAGACATTTATAACACATATAACCAAAAGAAGTTCATATCTAGATATAAAGAATTCCTGCAATGAATATGAAGAAGAAACAATCTGATAGAAAAATGGACAAGGGACTTCAACAGACATTGTCCAAAAGAGAACATCCAGATAGCCAATAAATAAATGAAAAGGCACTTGACAACATTAGTTATCAGAATCACAAAGAAATATCAGTACATTAGCTAAAGTTAAAATTACAGATGATAGCAAGGGTTGGTAAGGATTTGAAACAATAAAATCTCTCATGTATTCAGGGTGGGAGTGTAAGTTGAGCAGGCATGTTGGAAAACCATTTGGTATTATCTACTAAATTTTCAGATATGTGTGCCCTGTGATCTAGATATTTCATTCCCAGGTTTATACGTAACAGAAATATATCTGCTTGTGCACCAAGAGACATATACAAGATATATAATTCATGGCAGAATTATTTGTGATAGCCTCAAACTGTACAGGATTCAAAATGTCCATAAATAGTAGAATGAATAAGTAAGTTGGCATGGTCATACAGTGGGATATGATACAGTAATGAAAATGAATGAACTATCACCAAGTGGAATGGCTCTAACCTACATATTGTGTGAAAGAAGCCAGACACAGAGGGAAATATTCTGTATAATTCCATTTATATAAGGTTTAAAAACCAGACAAAACTAAAAGATAATGTTTAAGGCTTTAGTGATAACAGTACCAAGAAAAATTTAAAAAAGTAATTACCATATTGTCAGGATGATTGTTACCTTTAGCGAGAGACAGAGCCTATTATTGGGAGGGGGCATGAGGGGTATTTTTGCGGTGCAAGAAATGTTTTATTTCTTTACCCTCGTGGTGGTCTATGTATTAAATACTTGAGCTGCACTCTGATTTCTTGCATGTTTCTGTATGTTATAATTCACGGTTAAAAACAAGGTAGTGGGGCAAATAAACCAAACAATGACCTAGTGTCATGCTGACAGCAGATACTGGTCCTAAATTTTTAACTGAGACTTTCTATGCTAGGTTCACTCCCTGTTTATAGCCTAAATAATGCATTCACAGGGCTGTAGTGATAAAATGTCAAAATAAGGAAATGGAAATCTGTCCTACTTTTCGATGCCTCTTCAACTTTGGCCAATTTCCAGTTCCGCAGAGATCTGAGAGTTTTATAGGCATTCGCCATTATAGGTCAGCTTTGATTTAAAGATCTGACTTGAGGGAAGATCTTGAAAAACAAACACTTGTGGAAGAGCCAAGCTTTATATATTTGCAGAACAGGGTTAGGATTGGTATTATTTGTAGCTGCCACAAACGAAGGGAAATCGCAGCAGACGTTTTCAAACGATGGTCTCTGAAATATTCATTATGTTCAGTCCTCAGAGATATCTGCAAGGATTTTTTCAAGTTACTGTGGCCAAAATGCAAGGTGGATTTTCTTACTTTGTGTCCATATAACACAAAACAGGTCCTATGTTCTAGCATCTAATTTCTAAACTACTTCATTTTTTCAGTGCATATATAACCTGTATCATTTAGGTGCTGATCACTGTGATGGATTGTGAAGTTTTTACAGAAAGAGTGCAGTTCATGAGGGTTGTATCCTAGTAATGAGACCAGTTGTCCTACTGGAGAGTGGCATCGGCTGCTCTTGGCATATCTAAATTGCTACCACAAATCCTAAACTCGCTGTATTTAACTTAACATTGATAATGGCAGGTTGGTTCTGCTGACACGTTACTCATCACCTCAGACCTTAGAAATGCAAGTGTTCTGTACAACTTTCACACAATACACACTGGTTGTGCATCTACCATGTGGAGTTGAGTATATCGGTGCTGGGAAATTCAGCTCCTGAACCTAGTGCATATGAAGAGGGAAACACAGACACACACACACACTGTGACCATGGATTGAAGCCCCCCCGTGCCAGGCACCATGATCTGCTCCACACTTTACGTACGCAGCTCTGATCCTCCAAATGACTTGGCAAGATGGCCATTGTTATTACCTTTTTAGAGAAAAGGAAGCTGAAGCTCAGAGAAACTAAGTTATATCCCTGTGACATTGGCTACGGAAAAGCAAAATGCAGTTTTACTCCAGTGTTCTCAGGTATATGACGAATACCTGTTTTTTTATTTTTGGGTGTTTGTTTTTTGTTTTTTTGTTTTGTTTTTGTTTTTGTTTTTTGTTTGGCTTGTACCACTTGGACTAAGCTGCACTATTGCTTTGAACGACTCAGTCTATTTGTGCATAAATGATAGAACGTTTACTTTCCTAGATGATAGTAAAGGGTAAGTCTCCACTCCCACAAAATTGGGGAATGATTTGTCTACAACATGCACAGAAAATAAATGTCTCCCAGTCAAGAGTCAGATAGTTCTACAAATGGAGGAGGCAGGGCCTGCTTTCCAGGGGTATTTTCCTTTGAAACATTGGCGCAGGGAGGCCTCAGAAGGCTGCATGCAGGAGCTCTGTGGGGGTGAGCCAAATGCAGTGTGTGTGTGTGCCAAACTCCTACCTTCTGATTGATTTTCATGGTCTCTTCAGTGTGGTAGAGAAGGAGCTTTTCACCGGAAGAAGTCAGGTTAACGTACACCTGGAGGCAGGGGTACTGAGAGAGTTTCCAGCAGTCGGGACCACAGCTGAAGGAGCAGTTAAACGTTTCTGTGATGGACGCGTTCACCAAGGTGCATTGAGACTCCTCAGTCCACACGCTACAGAGAGAGGTGAGAGTAAACACGGGCCCGGACGCTAAGGGCGAGGAAGGTGTAATCAGAGGGGGTCATCTTAACCTGAGGAATCCAAATCTATCATGCAATCTGTTTGTTAGAGTTTATGCCTTTGAATTGCGCAGCTTTAGGCCAAGTACAGTAGAAACATGGATAAACTGCCTGGCACCTGAAAACTTCCAGTGACTTCTCTCAGATGTACTACACTATCCAATGCTTGATTTAAGTCAGGTTTTTACTTTTTTATCAAATTCACTAGCAAGCATAAGGCATCTTTGATGTCACAACCTGCAGCCACCCTGTATTTCTACCTTGTCAGCGGTACCATCGTACCCAAGTCCTCACCTCTGCAGTGTCTTCCCGGTTTGGAGGTAGCCAAGGTGTGAGGGAGAAGGGGAGGGAAGATGGCAGAGGGGTAGGGGGGGGGCTCGAGGTCCAACTTGATCGATACAAGGACAGTGATATATTTCTTTCTGTGGCCTTTCTAATAAGGGAGAAAAGATCACCCCACCCTTTCATTGTACCAAAAACAATCACTTGTAGCATCTTGACTTCACCCTAATTGGTGTTTTATGTACATTTCCAAAACTTTATAGGTTGGGTACTAAATTTTTCTTTAAGATGAGTTTACTGAGAGTCAGAGAAATCAGGACACGTGCAAGGGCACTTAGCTAGTAAGTGATGGAAATGGTGATACTGCCCAATCTGGCATTTCTCTGAGGCCCAGCCTCATTCCGTGGTACTGGTTTGCCTCCCTTTGAACACAGTGGAAGAGAGGCCCTTCTATGGAGATAATGGGCTCATGTCAGTGCCCTGGAACCTCTGTTAGAAAGATTAAAAAAGAAAAAACAAACGAACCTCCAGTTGCCCGTTGGCCAGTTTTTCACTCTGAAATACTTATAATTTTACGATCAAGGGTAACATTTGTAATTAAGAAGTGACACACCAGCAATCAAAGTTTTGCCTCTGGGCATAAACTGATTACCATTGTGATCAGAAAACAGCACACTTTCTTTGCAGATTAATACCCTTTCCTTTTGCTGGACATGTGTTGACTTCCTGTTTCATGTCCAGCTTTATGCCAGAGGCAGGTTACTAGCCCTGACCCCCTCGGGTGTGGCAAATTGTATTTTCCTAGGACATGGATGGTCAGGTTTTGCTTCTACAAAAGGGAGAAAAAGTCTTAGATGGTTCTAAGCAGATGTGAAGATATGAAAGCTGTTTTGGAATCAGTGAACACTCAGGCCTGAGGCATCAGCGCTTTCATTGAGAAGGAGCACAGCTGAAGGCATCAGAGACACAGAGCAGAGCAGTCACAAATGGAAAGATGATGCCTTAATTTTAGCAAATTACTGTATTTCAGCTAGATTTTGCTTCTAAAATGAAAGTATTAATTTGGGTGGAGAAATGAATGCCACAAAATGGTTTGACTCTCTTTCAGATCGAAATCTCAATTTTTCATTTGAAAGGGCCTCATTCCTTTGAGCCAAACTACTGTGAGACTTACCCCATTAGTTACAGCAATGCTGGGCTCCCCTGTGCTCAAAGTGTCCAATTTGTGGACAACAGTTAGCTGGAGAGGCTGTGGGGATTTATCATGTGGCTTACTCAGGGGGAATATACTTGCTGTTTCAGTATTTAATTGCCTCCCTATCTTTTCAGTAAACCTAGGGCAAATATTAAAATGAAAGGGGTTCAAAATCTGTTACTGTTCAAAGTTGATGCATAGCAGTATTTCTCAGCTTTGACAGCACATTAGGATTACCTGGGGGAACTTTGAAAGATGTTGGTGACTGGGTCCCGCTGTAGGCCATTAAATCTGACCTGGGAGAATGGGAGCTGGACTGAACATCTGTATTTTTTAAAGTTTCTCAGGAAGTTTAAATATACAGTTGAGAACCACTGATATGTGGGGTGATGAAGAGGGGTATGGGCTGGAAAAAGAAGGATGGTGGAGAACAGAGGTGTGAAGAGGCAAGAATAGGGACTCTGGAATTAGTGGGATGTGGGTTTGAATTGTACCTTTGCTATATGCTAGAGTTGTGTGATATCAGGCAAATTATATTTATCTTGAGCCTCACTTTTGCCATTCTTATAAGAAGTGTATTCATATCATATTTGCCTTATAACGTATGTGTGAGCATTAAGCAAGTCATGTATGGAAAGTTCCTACACATAGTAGGTAGTGTATACATAGAACTATTTTTATCATTATCATTCAATAACATTATTAAAAATACTACATTCTAGGCACTGCTCAAAGTTATTATTGGGAAAGGAGGTGAGAAAGAGGATTTTAGGGTTGATAAACTATGGAAGAGGAAGGAGAAGGAGAAGACAAACGACCGTGTCCCAACCCCCCAATGGCATTACCTCTGCATGTATGAGCGCAGGAGTGTGATTCCCAGCAGAAAGTACATCATGATGGAGCAGACCATCATGGCCAGTCCCAGGAGAATGGCCCGGTCCTCTCCTGCTTTCAGTGCTGTGACAGTTTTCCTTTTGTCCAGGAGGTCGTGGTCCCTGATTTTTTGGTAAATATTTCTGAGGTTGAAAATAATACAGTCTTACATGAAGTTCACAGTTAATCAGCACACTCCTAGAGAGTGGGTAAGTCTCTGCCCATGCTTTCCTTCCTTTTTAGAGGAGCTCTCTAAATCTACCTGAATGCAGTCGGATCCCACCATGTGACAACTGTCTCCCAATAATACACACACACATGCATGCACGCACGCACACACCAACCTTGAGCAGAAACAATTCCCCCTTCTTTCCTTGGGGCCCATGTCTGATTGTAAATACTTTTTCCTCCTCTTAAATCTGAAGAAAGAAAACACTTCCTTCAACTCTTAAAAGAATGCTTTTGGATTTGCCATTTAACCTCCAGCTGATCATTATCGATCGCTTTATACTCTCTGAATACCTAACAGAGCATTAATCCAAATAAATGGCAGTATACCTCGGAAATCTATCAACTTAATACCTTATTTCCCTTCAGTAGTAATAGAAGTTATTTTGGTTAATGTTTTTCTCAAGCTTAGGGTAGCTTAGGGCGCTGTTGGCTTGAGATTTATAACCTATATGAAAATGTGGAGTGGTGACCCAATCTTTTTTCTTATAGATGTAAACACTTGAGTGAGTTTTGAAAATGTCAGTCAAGGGCCAGGCTCCATAACTTTGGGTACTTTTATTAGTATTTTTTTTTTTTTTATTTTCACAGCAGAAACATAGAGTAAGAAGGGACACGAGATTGGACCAATTGGCTCCTGAGTTCAAAACCTGATTTCCCTGCTGACTACCTGTGTGATCAAGGTAAGTTCCTCCTCCTTTCTGATTTCCAGTTTCCTGAATAGTGGGAATAATGTTTAACTACATTATAATGGTTGAATGAGATGACATAAGTAAATCATCCAGGAGAATGACTGACGTGAAACATTTAACAAATGCTCCCATTGGAAAATGGGGTGGGAAGCTACAGCTCCGTGATAGGTTCGTCAAAGTATCTTAACATTGCTGCAATCTTCCAAAGAATTTCTAAAGGATAGAATGGCAGGGAAATAAATAATGTAGAAAGCTAATGAGTGGGAGACTGAATTTGAAAGAAGACCTGGAGGAGAAGATAAAAAAGAAGAAACTGCTGGGGTGCTGGTTGCTTGGAGAGATATGTGAGAAGTGTAGGATTTGGTAAAGCAGGTGACTGGGGAAGCAGCAGCTCAGGACCTCCTTTAGTTTCTATTCTGAGAAGCAAGTTTGGGGTAGCAGGGGCCCAGGAGTAGGGGTGTTGTTGACCTTTAGGGCCTGGGAAGACAAATAGCTGAAAAATGGAGAAATAAATTCTTACGGCTTTTTTTTTTTTTTAGCTTCAGACAAAAAGCCAACATACACAAGAATAATTTCAGATTTTCTTTAAAAATTTTATCCCTAGTCATTCTTGTTGCTTGGAAAAAAAATAACCTGAGTAAAATCTAGAATGGGACTTTGCAGAGAAGGGAAGAGATCCTTGTTACTAGTACAATTGTATATATAATCAGGGCTTCTGTTTAGGTTTGTGCTCTAGGATGGTAGGATGGTCTTACTGATGTTGGTGGCTGGCATCCATTCTGGTTGGCTAGTTCATTCTGGGCTGGTTGTTAGATATTTTGATTCTCTGTAGAAAAGTGTGAAAACATGTACGAACTTAATATATTTCCAAAGGGTTTTAGGATAGAGTATTTATTAATTTAGTTATTGGAGCATGAAATTAACCAATTAGCTTATTATTATTTAAAGTTGTATTCACGAAGTAGTTTATACAAATCTTATTCTTTCCCTAAGGAGTGGGCCCATTGTAGTAGGGGAATTGTAGCTAAATAGAAGCCATATTTCTGTGATCATGTCCTTCTTGGCTCCCCTCCACCCTTCCTCACTGTCAGCTGCTCATTATCATCATCACCAGAAGCCCTGAGAGTTCATATCTTTCATTAGTCTACAGACCCCAAGTCAAATGTCCCCAGACTAGCTGCTCTGCTCTGCTTTTGACTTCCAGAGACTGGTCACTACCCACCTTCTAAGTTTCTCCATTTGCTTCCTGAGATTTCCTTGGGAAAATATAAGATTTATATCAAAGCTCTTTAAATTTGACTCTTTATTAACTTGATTTAAAAAAATCTGTGCCCTTGGGAAAATATAAGATTTATATCAAAGCTCTTTAAATTTGACTCTTTATTAACTTGATTTAAAAAAATCTGTGCCCATTAGCAATGAAAGCCAATAGTAGGCAGGGAGAAACTGAGTGACTTCAAAGATCTTGTTGTAGGGTGCCTGGGTGGCTCAGTCGGTTAGGCATTTGACTCTTGATTTTGAATCAGGTCCTGATCTCACAGTTTGTGAGTTCGAGCCCTGCATCAGTTGCTGTGGTGAAGGCACAAAGCCTGCTTAAGATTCTCTCTCTGCCCCTCCCCTGCTTGTGTGCAAACTCTTTCTCACTCAAAATAAATAAATAAACAATAAAAAAAAAAGACCTGTTGCAAAAGTAATGTGATGTTACTAGGCTATTATTTATCAAAATGTATTTAATTCTGATGGCTGTCTTTGAGATTTGCATTTACTGCAGAGGGAAGCCAGCAAAGAGAAAGCAGTAGTCTCACAGTTCCAGAGGATTAGGCTGTCACTCTACATCACTTATGTCAGTCCATATCCATGAAAGATGCAGTGTAATCAGTTATGTCACCAGAACAAGAAGCATATAAAAGTGATTCAAATGAGTAATTTAAAAACAAATCATAGTTTGGAAATGGGTGACAAATGTTCTTCATATGCTTTGGAAATTGCAAAGAAGGAAAATGGTTGGTTTCCACACAGACCAGAGATATTTGGGAAATAAGGATATTACTCAGCCAAAAGAAAGTGGATGAGTGGTGTGGAACATACTCATGAAATTTATCAGTATATTATTATTGAATTAATGGATATATTAAGGAATGAATAATTTGGGAAAACAAAGTATTCAGTTTAAATCCACAAATTTATCTCAAGTGCTGGTAATCTCTAGTTCCTGGGGATACTGTCTCTGCCCAAGAAAGACATGAAAATAAATATCAATAAAGGGTAGTGGATTCAATGACGGAGCGACTCACAGGGTGAGTACAGAAGGGAAGTAAGTGCCCCAGCCTTGAGGGAGCAGGACAAGAAGCAATAAGGCATTAAGGTTAGGGACACCTTCCTGGAGGTAATCCCTTAAGCAGAAGCTTCAAGATTGAATCAGAATTAACCAACTAAGACAGGGACTCTAGGGTATTTCAAACAGAAGGAATTACATGAAGGAAGGGATGAAGATTTGCAACTGCAAGGTGACTGTCAAAAACGACAAGCATTTTACTATTACTGGGATAAGTGTGGGACAGGGGAGATGGGGCCAGTGAGTTTGGAAAGGTACTAGGTCATGAAGTGTTTTGTAAATCCTAAAGAGCTTGACCTTTATCCTGTAGTTAACAGGAAGCTGTCAGAGAGTGACATAATCAGGGCTGAGTTTCAGAACGATCACTTTGGCTACAGTGTGGAGAATAGATTAGAAATAGACCAAAACAAATCAGAAAGAATTAGGAGATTGTTTCTGTAGTGTTGGCAAAGGGTGATGAGGCCTGATGATTGAAGTAGGATAGATAGAGAGAAAAGGATGTATGGGGGAACAGTGACAATAAAACTCTAGGGTTTGGTGATTGATAGGATGTAGAGGATGATAAGGAAGTCAGAGGAAGGATGTAGATTAGATTTAGGCCCAAGTACTTGGCTTGGATCACTGGAGATGTGGTAGAAGGTGTTAAAACTAGGATTCTTCTGTCCTGACTCTTCTGGGTCCCAAAGAAGGGACTTTTGCTGCCCTGGCTAAGAAGGGAGAAGCTGATGGTGCATTATAGATTCTCCCACAAGCATAGTGTCCTGAGCTCAGGTGAGGAATGACTAATCTGACTGGTGAGATGGACCAGAGCATGACAGTCAGGGGCCAGGTCTATCTTTTAGGTGAATTTGAATGTCATTGTTCATGTATGGCACAGTTTTTAAAAAATCCTTTTGGACTTGTCTTTGTTCAGGGCTGGTGTGGCTTGCCTTTACTATCTTCAGGTAGTAAGCCCAAGTGGGAGAAGGTGGTTTACATAGTCTGAAACTAAGTGGTTATTTAGGTGGGCTCTTTCATGCCAAGCTGTCTTCAATGCTATGTTTCAGGCTTCACACTAGGAAAGCTTGTACTTTGGAAGCTATTGTGCCAGTAGTAACAGAGCTAGTATTTCATCTCCCTTTGGTTCTTTGCCTTTATTCTCTATGGATATATCTGAAAGGGGCCAGAGGAGAAATAAGGGAATGAAGTCCAATTCAGTTCAATGAAGTACAGATCTCAGGAGAAAGAATGAATATGGAGCATGACTACAAATTCAGTTTTGAACATGTGGGATGTCCAACAGTAGGTATACAGTAGGAACTTGGATTTCTTAAAAAAATTTTTTTTAAATGTTTATTTACTTTTGAGAGAGAGCAAGAGAGAGTGAGCACATTAGTAGGGGTGGGGCAGAGAGAGAGGGAAAGAGAGAGAAGTGCAAGCAGACCCCACACTGTCAGTGCAGAGCCTGATGGGGCTCAGAACCACAAACTGTGAGATCATGACCTGAGCCAAAATCAAGAGTTGGACACTTAACCAACTGAGCCACTCAGGTACCCCAGGAATTTGAATTTCTAAGTTTGGTGCAGTTCTAGCTTAGGTGTGTTCTGGAAAAGTAGTATGTTTGAGCTCTGTTGAGGCAATCTTGGCTTCATGATAAACTATGAATCAATATGGTGGATATAAGTCAACATTTATAGATGTTGACAGAACAAATAGTAGATAATGTACAGTCTTTACTATATGTGCGGGGGACATTCTGTCCAAATCCTTTTGGTAAATGGAAGTTATTAATAACTTGTATATACAAGGCAAATCCAAGTACAACAAAAGTCTTATAATAAATCTACAAGGCAAATCCAAGTATAATAAAATATCTTGCATAAAGAAGGATTCTCAATTATCCAATAAA